GATGGGAAAATCTAGACTGCGGTCAATATCGATTTCAGCCAATCAAATTCGTGAATTCGGTAGTTCCCAGTCCTTGTGAGACACAGCCATACAATAATATTACATATCAAATTCATTCTATTTGCCCATGAAATAATTTGCATAAATTAGATACTCCTAGTCCGGATTAAATTCCGCCAAGATCACTCCGTTTCTGGTATTCATGTAACATATATAACCTCAAAAACTGCTGTAATTTTGTTAAGTTTAATTGCGACTTCTGGATATTCTGTAGAAGTAATTAAGCTCAATCATTTGCATACGCGCGCTTTCATAATTGGTTTATACATAAATTTTGTTGATAAATTTCTTCTTTTGTCAACTTCCATTACTTGCTATAATCTTGCCAGCAACAGAGCAAATATTAAAATGTAATTCACTAACGAAAACTCAACACATTAGATGCCAAAACTACTCCACAAAATACACACCATTCCTTAAAACAAGGGTGTACTTTCACAAGACTTTGTAACGGCGAGCAAAAATAAACTGGTAAGTAGGAACAAGAAATTTACACGAGTCCTCTCTCTATGCAAACAACACAAAAAAATAATTTCTGTCCTGCAAAAGCCCCCTTAAAAACACTTACAACAAGCAAATACTTATTAAATGAAAAAGAAATTATTTCCCGTGCTTATCTTGAGTCTGAACAAAGACCCCGCTCAAAATCATACCGCAAATAAAATTGTAGAGAGAACATAAGCTTATTCTCAAAAAAAAATTGACCTCGTCGAAAATAAAACATTGTTATGACACAGTGCAGGAAAAATCTTACCTTTCTTCACCTGATTTTGTCGTATATTTGCTCAAGTAGAATCCAGAAAGTCCCCTGCTTAACTCGGAATTGAACTCGATGATAAGAAAGTAAAATTTGCCTCCTTGAAGCTCAGAACCCAGGGTGATAGATAGCATTTCACCATGTAGTCGAGAAATACCCGTCACTTCTATTGGAACTACGTTGCTATCCGGGTTGTTCAAATCTGCAACTTCTCCTACCGCCACGTTGAAGTAACTAATGTTATTTCCAACATGGAGGGTAATATTGTTGGCCGCTTCATTACAATAGAGAAGAACGTCAACCTTCCCCGAGACCTGAAAAGTTGTCAGATTAGGATGCAAATACACAAGATATTCGATCGGTGATATGTGTCTCGGTAGTCGTAATGAGTTCGACTCTTGAGCATTCACTTCTTTTTTCGCTAAAGCAGCGTCCCTCGCCTGTCCAAAATCATGCCGAGAAATCTTCCTACTGTCACTGTTTACAGTTTCATGAGAAGAAGATGGCCGAGCCAAGACAAGAAGGAGCAACACCGAAATCAACAACAAAGCCGTTACGACGCCATAAATCGTCGTTTTCCCTCCAAACATTTCCCTCAATTTAAGTGCAAAGTTTGGGCCTCCGAATCTGTTCTTTCTGTAACGTTTTTTGTCGGGAAGAAGGGAAATATTGATGTGGTCTTCAAATTCCACGCTTGAGGAGTCAGATTCTTCCCGATGATCTGATTCCATATTCCGGTATGATATTTGCATTTGAATGGTAAATGAGTTGACAGCAGGCGCACGCAGCTGCATCCGCCTCCGTATCTTGTTAGCGCGTGACGTGATCCGTGATCCCGCGTGAAAACTGAACAAATACAGTACTTTCAGAACTTACAAACCCGGCAGAGAGAAAAATCTTGCGAGGCAAAATAGTGCCATTTTTAAAGGGTAGGCTTAAAACTAAGTATGGTTTTTCAAAGAATTTATCAACCACTGATAGCAAGTCAAATTATTGGCGATAGATGAGAATATCTGCCGGGCAGATGCAGATATGATAATTGTTATCGTCATTTGGATGATATTACTCAGCAGTGAGTTCTGCCAAATCTGAAAGGTTTGAATAAAATTCTCTGCGTTGTTTTTCTATCGATATGAATGGAAAAAATTTTATTTCCACTTTTTGTTGTCGACTTCGCTCGGAACTCTCCCACGCAGTAAATTACACAGATTGGCCTTCTCGAATGACGGGAACTGACAACTGATTATGCGGAAAAAGAACTCAACTGAAGATAATATTTCGTATGAGGAAGTTGCTTGTATTGCAGATATATTGTATCGGTCATATGATTCTGCTATTTTAATCTGGTAAAATAAGAAAATTCCCAAGTTTAGCAACCATAGAGACAAAGAGGCATTCTATTTTCGAAAGCTTATTTCAAATTGACCTGGTATTTGTTAAACCCCTATGATCGCAATAAGCCGAAAACTTTCGGTTCTATAGTAAGTTTTACAGTTTTTAGTCTGGTATATATAGTCATTTGAACAAAAGATGTGTTTTCAAGCTTTAATATTTTAGCAAATTAGTCAAAAGTGCGACAAATGTCTACTGAAAAAAAATTATTTGAAAATTCAACCAGCAGCTTGCGTCATTTAGAGTGAACAAAAATAAACAATTTATTATTTATAACTTAAATAATCTGTAGGTTCCGCTTACAGCACTTTCCGATCTTGTCGATCTCCGATCTTTTAATTAATTATACTTTGATAAAATCGTGTATGAACAACAAAGTGAAGATGTTCTGGACTCAAACTCAAATAGGGCATAATTGGAAATAGCAGGCACGTAATTGAGGGAATATTCTCATGACCAAATATTTCTTATAGCCAATATTTTTCTTGTTTACACACGATCAAGTATTAAAAGAAATGTTTCAAGCAACCATTATGGCAGCAATGACCAAGCACTTTGAAAACTCTCCCGTTTGCTAATCAAGCCAGGCAGTAAATAGCAAACACAATAGTAGCTGAGAGGAGGATGTTCATACAATTATTGAGATATAAAAGAGAACTTCAACATTATGACCGACCCGCACCAATATAGTTTTCATTTTTTATTTCAGTGAATATCAGAGAGTCCTGACGACAAAGTTGTCTTCTTAATGTTTTTCAAAAACCGTTCTCTCTTGGTCGAGTTTTTGCCAGACAAATTAGATACTCCCATTCAATCTTAGTTGAAGATATCTGTAATTTAAATAGCAACCTTGTTAATTACTAAATTTAAGCTTAGGTGACCGGTTTCCATAGAGGCTAATCATTTATGTTAATCTGAATTCGCCTGAACAAAGGGTTACCCTATCAACCATGCAAACTAAAGTGTTTGGTAACGTCTTGGACACTCTTTAAAATCAACTTCTTGTCTGACGTCAAGACTCTAATGGTGCTTGTCAATTCAATTAGTCAATCAAATTCTTGGGAAATCTAAACTGAGTTTACACATTTATATATGGAAAACAGAGCCTTTTTGATCAAATGAAAGATCACAAAGACAAAGGTGGGCGCACAACATCCGGACAAACTTTCGCTGTGTCTAGGCGCCTACCACGTTGGTTACTTTGATATAGGCTTTAGCCGATATCATTGAAGTCGATGAATAACACAAGTGGCAAAAGTATAAAATGTGATGATGTATTTTCAACTCCCATATTGGTAGTAGTCTAAGGACGACCGTGCCTTTTTTAAAATAGCCTCGTTAACAGTCAAAGTGTCGATATTAGCTGCATGGGGGTTTCAAATCTGACGTTATGTCATAGAAAGATATTATAAGGGTCAATAACCCCAGCTTTGTCTGGCTAGTGTCCGCAACTTAATATCCAAGCCCACCCCATTTTTCTTTCTTTTTTTTTTTTCGCTTACTAGCCGTGTTCTTTTCATACATAATGTATCCGTAATTCACACGTTCAAGATGTTCAGCGCCAAATAAAAATAAGCAATTGACGCCCCGAATTCCCTTCGGGCCTCAAGCTGTACGCTCGGGCCAAAAACACACAGACGATCGGCCCCTTCAGACTAGAATTGTTTAACTCTTCTAGGTAATCAATTATTGGAAGCTACAAGAAATGTCTATTCTAATAAGACAGATCGCAGTTTCAAGAATTATTGTGTTGGACATGCTTTCTTATTCCTAATTTATTCTCTTCTTTTGTTATTTAAAACAGAAAACAGAAGGAGTCAATTAGGGATAAAATGCATGCACACTGCACTAAATCGAGAGAGTCTTATGTAAGGTTGGCGGGACGCGGGATGGAAGGAAATTTGAAGGCGGGATGCGGGATTGCAATGGGTTGGCGGAACGCGGGAAGTTGTTTTTTTTCGTGGCTGGACACGGAACTGTTTTTTCCCGCGGGAAATGAGATGTAAGACGGTCAAGATTAGGTTAACAACACAACCAACACATGGTAACTCTCAACATTTCTATTCTTGCTTTTATGTCCACTCTTTCAAAGACCGTCCGAATTTCTGATCTTTATCAGCAAATCAATTTGCAGTCCGACTGCTGTCGCAAGTTTGTCCATTTTCTACGGAATCCATAAAAAAATTCTAAAAGGCAAGTCATATTTTAACCCGACAAACCGGTATCTCATCAGGGAAAAACATTTTACAGTACTTTGGAACGTGGCGGGATCTGATTGACGCGTCCGAAGGAAGAGGATGTTGCGAATCCTACTTTAGACCCTCTAATTCCTGAAACTCCTTTACAATCTGATAACAGGAAACAGGCTTTGCCTTCTGAGAGAAAGCTCATTTAGTCCCCATGAAGCAAGACATAGGGGGATACTGAGAAGGAACACTCAAACACAGGTGTAACTCATCCAAAATTGTCTTTTCAACTTAACTCAGAAACTTTCTTTCTTCAGAGTTGTGAATAACTATTTTAGTTGATAATAAATTTAGGGTTTTAATGATCGCGTTCAAACATAAAACAGGTCACACCAGGAGTTATAAAAGATTAATTAAAAGGTAACAAAGCTTTATTAACATTTATTATTTCCAATTCACTGCCTCCACAACTGCGCATGATCTGTAAAAAATCTTTCTGAACTACTCCAAGCTTTCCCACAGGTATGATTAGATCTCCAGCTTCAAAGCTGAACGCATCTTATACGCTGCGCCTCACCATGAATACCACTGATTCCCTTAATTTAAGCTACAATGAGATGGTGTTATGAGTTATCTCACAACAGTTCGAGATGCTTTGTGTACAGCGGCAAAGGATATCACATATTGGTAAAAGGTCTTCATTTTTAACGCAATCTGTTCTCATTATATAAGTCCGATTTGATGAACAAGTTTCCCCCTGTTACTATCCCGCCATCTTTTTGCTTTGTTTTCTTGGCGTATATGTGGGAAAGTTACATTAAACTTAAACTTAAACTTACTGTTTTGGACTTGACTATATAGAGTTACATATTACACATAAATAAGCCTCTTACTTCTGTTTCTCAGTTTTTAAATACAAATTTGCACTTGCGTACAGACAGTGGTAAAACCGCGGAAATCTAAATACAATTCTGAAAAGGAACAGAAGATTTGACTGCTTGATTGATAGTCTACAAATCAAATCCAATCTGATATGGGGCAAAAAAAGAAATATCCGTGAAATGTGTATTTTGTTGTGAACTTAGTTTTGGAGATTTTCTGAAATTTCTTTTTTCTTTAAAAAAAGGTGAAGTCTAAGATGGGAGACGTCTTAAAAATATGTGACGTCATTTCAGCATTTTATCTTGTGATAACTGGCACATTATTGCCACTAAAATAAACATCGCTGAATGCTCGGTCATACCAGAAGTTTGAAATGTTGCGTTTGTTTCAAATGTTCAAGGATGCGCTTTGTACCCCTCCACCAACCCCCCCCCCCTTCCCACCCCCCTCCAACTAAGCTTAGGAAAGAAAAAAGTCACTTACGTTAAATAGGTTAAGGAAGTGCCGACACCTGATGTAAGACAGAATAGTGCAGATGGTGCTTTGAATCTCCATTACTACACCATCATTGCTGTTCAAACATTATCGTTTTTGGTATGACTTATCACGATGTTAACACAATCGCTATACAATATCAATGTTCCACTGGACAGAACAGGAGCATCCTTCAGTAAGACTCTATACCATCAGTTCTCCTTGTTGTCAAGGAACCGCTTAAACCAATTATACACTGCTGGACCATGGTTGTTTATCCATTTTATATTGGCCTCTATACTTTCCAAACTTTGTCGTACTGCCCGTTCACCGGATCCTTGTTTTACTTTGTCAAAAAACTTGCTCACCTAAAAGCAAAAGACAATTATAATAATAATTCATTTCAATTGAACGCTGGAAAAGCCTGGAAAGAAATAAGGACACATAGTTATCGGCAGCTGTAACTTCTTTTAGAAAAACAACAAAATAATTTGCACGTCACATGCATGATTTACAGAGGTTTTAGATACAACCCTATTTATGCACCTACAAACCTAGTCATGCACCATACCTTCCCAACCCTGTAAAATTGAATACAAAACTCTTTGCATCGGACAACAAAACATTTGCATGTAATCATATTATTGATAAAATCAAATAATTGTTGTCATACTTGAATTTTCCTGTCCTCTGTGTTGAAATGTGCAGTGTTAGCAATGATCAAACGACTGAACTCAAAAGACCCCTCGCCATATCTACAAGGAAAGAAGAAAGAACCGCAGTTGATGACCCTGACTAATGACTAGTCGAAACATGAATGTGAACTTCTAAATGACGCCTCGACGCCATCTAAATTTTGCTCTACATACGCACCTAAGGCGTCGCACAGAAGCCCCAGATCATTTTGTACAGGATACAGAGAATTCAATGGTGCAGGCAGCGCACCGCTACTTAGCTGTCTGTCTGTGCCTTAAATAGAACCCAGAATCCACTTCAAAATGTACTATAGTTCAGCGCTGGTAATTAATAACTTCGAAATCGCCGCTTGGAATTCCCTTTCTAAAGAATGAGTCTTCTTCCATTTATTTTTTATACCCAGACGTTGAGGGAAGCCTTTACCTGTCATACAGTTTATTGTAGTTATCCTGTAGAAACTGCCAAGCTATAAGCCTTCCAGCTGGATTGGAGGCTATCGAGTCAATAATAGACACGGAATCCTGGGAACGAATCTTGCTTTCGTCGAGTGAGAATCCTAGGAGTCTAAAATAAGGCAAAAATTTTGAAGAACTAAGTTCCTCTTAGAACGTGCGTTATGGTTTGCTAAAACCCTCACAACAACATACAGAAATAATTTTAGTTGTATATCAACCAGCGATTTAAACCATACCTATCTGGCAAACCCATCTCTATAACTCGACCTCCAACCACCATCAACCTCATTTCGGCCATTGCTATGCCAGATTACATCCAATCCCCATCTATGTCTCCCATCACCCACTCTTCCCGTTCTTACGCCTAACTTTCAATTTAAGCCACCGTTTTCAGCAATTGATTGGGGGTCGTTTAGCCTGAAATGTAATTCATCTCACGCCTTCAGCCTAATCGCCCCGGGATAAGGCTGAGGGGGGAGGGGCGGGGGGTGGGGAGATGATTGACATTTTAGGCTAGGGGTCGTTCTACACTGTTTCCAATATTTTGGTTACATATCTTCCGGTCACTGAGAATTCAACCTCTGACGAAGACAACGATCCATTCTTGTCAAAGGAAAAATAATTCAAGCAGTCTTTGTCGCAATACTTTACCTCTCTAGAATTTCTGGCCTTCGACTGTATGTGAGTGCGTACATTAATTTCCTCTTTTCCGACGGAACAGTCTCGGTTTGAAATCTTTTGAAAACTTCCATCCATGTGGAATCATTTGCGTCCTTTATGCCGATGGAGTAAACAGTGCTACGCAAGTTGGGTGTGATTCTGAAAAAGATGTTTTCGCAGTCATTTTGTGAAGAACTGAACTATGTTTGTGGTAATGCTACGTAACGAGCTGGTTCGGGCGGGGGTGGGGGTGGAGGGGAGGGTGTGGATTTATGTCTCAATCATATTTACAAACAAACTGCTTCGAAAACAATTGGAATGGTAAAATCAGCTACGCATTCGGGCATTTTTTAATAAACATTAGGGTTGACGCTTATAAATCTAAAGGAGACCCAAAGAAACTCACGATTTTCCGCTATAAAGCCAATCATTAAATAGATCCAAAGCTCTGTCTGTGTACTGCCGTTTTTCACTCTCATGAAGGACATCTTCATAGCTCGCGACCTTACCCAGCACAGCAACGCGAAGATATCTATAAGGACAGTAAACAAAAAAGTAAAATACCTTAAAAACCTAAAGATCTGTAGGTCTTTGTGTTCACTATCTGATGCAACAATATGTTTCGAATTTCTGATTTTTCTTGTGACACATTTTTAAAAACGTTAATACATAATTGCTCGCAATATGGCCAATGACAGTTTAGCTAATGACAACACTTGCCTCGTCAAATGAGGATCACTTTTAGTTTCATCCCAGCCTAGCTCACTAGCTATGTCTCTAAGCAAATACAAGATGTATTTCTGAAAACAAAAGCAAAAAACACATGACAGTCACTAGTAATACAGACGTCAGTTATATTGCTAATAGACATCGTTTAGGGTAAAACAAATGCAAGTTAAATAGACCATGTTCGTCTATTATTATTACTTCTCAGTATTGGACTGGAACTAGCGTGCAAGTGAGGCTAATGTGGGGAGATCTTTTCCAATGCTATTGACATTAATCTCTTTTTAATGATATTCCCCCGCGGGAGCCTCCATTGCATGCTAGTTCCAGTCCAATACCGAGAATACGAATGTGGCCCATTGGCAAACTACTGACAATTTCTCCTATGCAGCCAAATATCTGTTAACAAGACACGTTTCTTACATGCTACGAACTACACCTAGTCAGCATAACAAACGATGAAGTAATTTTATCTGCACTGTGAGGTATTATGCATTTCTCCATACAAGTGTTTTACCTTCACCTATCTAATTTATGTCAGGTGGCAAGTAAGGTCTCCAAGTATATTACCTTGTACGTTGAATAATATTTTGTTGATCCATTCACTGAATCGTAAGTGGAAAACTGAGTAGCAAAATAAGCCATGTTGTTAAGCGCCGACATCCATGGAACGTATTCTCTTTCTTGTTTAAGATATGGAGTGAGACTCAGAGCCACTTCATCAGACAACATGCCGCTCCTATGAGTAAATCAAACAACAGCCAGTATTAAAATTCACAGAGTTAAACCTGAGCATTACAGCAAACAAAATGCCACCCATGGAAATAACAATGTAATATAATTAGTCATGTAACTTAAAGAGCTGGGCGTATGACAAATGACTTGCTTCTTAGTAAGTAATCTCGACATCGTAAACTTCAAACCGAAGAGTGCTAGTTCAGCTAAAAAAGGTTAGCTACACCTATCGGACAACTGTTAGGGAACATATAATAAGTAGATTTCACAGTCTCTATTGATCCTTCCAAAAATCAGAACAGCGGTGTTTGTCAGTTTGAAAACTTGAGAACTAGCGTATTTAGTTTAATTACCGAGCAAGGTTTAGAGCATCATCCAGCAAGCCTGCGCGATCCGCTGCTGTTAATGTCTAAACGGAAACACAAAAACAATTCAGTATTCACTGATTAGTTTTTATCAAAAAAGAAGCATGTTAGATGAACACAAATGCGCAATGTAAGAGAAGTATCACCCTTATTATCCCATGTATTCATTTCTTCACATCCTAAACAGAAAGACTATGTGTGGGAGGGGCGGCTTAGTGATTATTGCGCTAGGCTCAGGGTCACGTGGTCTGGGATCATTGTGTGACAAGGCAGTTTACTCTCACAGTGCCAATCCAGATGCATAAATCAGTGTGACGGTTAACTTCTGTCACATTGTTCCCTAAAAATCCTATATGCTAAGGGGTTAAGGATCTCAAGGACTCGTTACCAGGTGTACGTGCTTCGAGATTGAATTCAGTAGAATTTGGAGAGAGAACCTAACGAAAACCCTTGAGCAAGGATGAAAACAATAACAAACTCCACTCAACAGATTACTTAACAACACAATAACTGTTACCTGGTGAGAAGTATCTAGCTGACGAACTAGTTTCTGCCAGTTCTCTATCTGATAGTTCACACGGTAGAATCCAGTTTGCCCGACGTTCATCTTGAACCATGAATTTTCTTTAGTTCCCGCAGGTAATTTAACTAAAATAAAAACAAATATCAAGAGATAAAGTATTTGCACTTGCTCGCCTTCGTCGATGTATATACGTATTTTAAATTTTAACTTTTAAAATTTTAACTTCTGATATTTTAGCTTTTAATGTGGGCTCCCTGTTTAAATATTTTAATTATTATCATTATCATTATCATTATCATTATCATTATCATT